ATAGCAACATTACGACTGGGGTAAACTATAGTAACCTTTACTTGAGTTTCATTAATTTCAAACAGACTTGATACGTTATATGTTCCTCAAGAAAATTATCTTTTGGTTCAGGATGTTGAGATGCAGTTGCATGTAAGCCTATTCGAAACACTTTGCGATTTACAATGCTTCGCTGAGAGAGCGAAACAGAAGACGGTATAAATTGCCGTTTGAAACGAAACGATCTGGACTCTGAACGCTCTCTTCTTTTATAGAGTTTTTTTACCAAATGAAATAACTGAAATAAATTTCGTACTTTCCGCCGCCAACAAGAAATGCACACACGATCTGATAAGTGAGACAATTTATTTATAACAATGGCGACAGCGAAGCACAATTATATAAAATGCTAATGTGGTCGCACGACTTCCCTCACGATTTGAAGTTTGAGACTGGTTTTATGTTGAAATTCGTCCTAATTTGCCTGTTCCAATTTTAGTTGAAAATGAGCACTTGCAAATTTGGCAATTACTGACTGCGTTGCTTGGAGTTAAAACGCAGCCATTTACACGTTGTTTATGTTCTGAATATAAGCAGAGAAAACCCCGCAACATTTAAATGCGAGTTTGTTTGTTAATATTTGGGTGCTGTCATTGGTTCTTTTTTGACAATTGACGCGCGAATGGGGCGTGTTATGGAAAGGGGCGTTTTACAAAATACCGGGCCTTGCTTGCAGGCCCACTATCAATCTCGTTCCCCGAGCATGCCCGTTCGCAGGTTAAGGGTGGGCATAGCTCTGGAGAAATCGAATTGATTCAGGCCTGTGATTGGCTAACGGCAGATAGTACGTTGGATTTCCAACGTGAGTTCTACTCATGCTTGGCAATTGTTGCAAAATATAAACAAGTATTTGGAATTTCTCGTCCAAAATTTGCTACTTTTTTACACTGAAATCGATTGAAAACAACTAGAAATTCTGGAGGGAATATGTGCGAAAGCTTCGGATTGATAGGGATACAACTACCTGAAAAATATAAGGAGAACTTCGACGTTTCGAGCGAAGGCGCTTCGACTTGTGCTGTTAATGTTTGTATATATAGTACTTGACCTTTTATACTGTCGTACTTAACACTACGTATACCATAAATTCTGACAGGAGAGTTAAATGTAAATTTTAAAGCATAAAAATATATTATACTCATTCTTGAGGAGATTATATTTATCAGTAAAGGTAAAGTACGATGTATACAAACACTACAAATTATACATGTCGAAGCGCCTTCGCACAAAATGTCGAAGTTCTCCTTGTACTTTTCAGGTAGTTGTATCCCTATCAATCAGAAGCTTTCCCCCAGAATTTTTTGTTGTTTCCAACTCGATTTCAGTGTAAAAAGTATCAAATTATCAATATTTTGTATCAAAAGTATCAATATTTTGCAACAATTGCCGAGCATGGGTACAACTTACGTTGGAAATCCAACGTGAATCAATTCGATTTCTCCAGAGCTATTTCCACCCTTAACCTGCGAACGGGCATCCTCGGGGAACGAGATTGGCCCACTATCAGTTCCCTTGGGCCTGCACGCGGGCTAGAATTTAGTGGGTTCTTTAACTTTCGGTATAATATATCATTTATAGACCCTCCGCTCGGGGATTCGTCGAAATATTACCCTCAATGATGATACTTCCCTCGGGGCTATAAAATGAAATATCATCACTTCGGGTAATATTCTGCTGAATCCCCTTCGGTCTCGCTCCGGGTCTATAAATGATAATAATAACTCAATGTGACTATGACTGTTTAATCGCAAATATGTTACAGAAAACTCACTAGAACAGGCGACACCATTGCCTGAGTAACCAGCGTTACATTGACATGAAAAACTTCCTACATTATCTGTACAGGTTGCATTTTCGTGACAGTTGTGAGTTCCAACAGTACATTCGTTTATGTCTATAATGACGAAAATAATGATAATAATCAACTAAACGAACATTATTGTGAACATTCCTCAGTGGGAATCAAACCCGAGCTATTTGGCTTGCTAGTCCAATGCTCTACCACCTGAACTACGAATTCAAGTCGGTTCCAGTTTATACGGGTAATAATTTCAATCCAGTCCTTTCGATATCGTCAGATGACTATATGATCTGTCATTTTAATGTTTATCGTGTTGAACCCAGTTAACCAATTTTTCAGCTTGGTGCAGAGAGACAAAAAAGTAAATACGTTTAATGAGTTCAACACCACAACCATCAGACGTTCGATCATAGACATACAGCTATTTCAATTAAGGTTGTTCCCCGAGCAAAGCGGAAAAGTCGAATACGAGCGCGAAAGGCTGCTGGGAATTGCTAATAAATTTGTTAATTTATTAGGGAATCCCAGCAGCCTTTCGCGCTCGTATTCGACTTTTCCGCTTTGCTCGGGCGACAACCTTAATTGAAATAGCTGTATACATACGTGGCATGAAGAAGATTGGGTTTTGAAATATCACCTAAAGAACCGACTTGCTTCAGTTGGCAGACGGCATTGGACTATTTTGTAGACCGCACTCGAGTAGCAAGCTTTTCATTGGAGTGCTTGCGGCGCGCGACAAATGACAGAGAAATGGGGCGAGCTTAATATAAATTGGCATTTGGAAGCACTTGGTGCATTCTACACGTCGTTTTGGGCTGTAAGGGTATAACATCAGCAAAAACACAACAAAAAAGTTACATTAGAACTATGTCAAAACTACATCAAGAGTGACTGGATGGCATGCAGAACAGCGGATATTTAAAAAGAAAAATAATGATAATAGATTTTGATTACTACTGGATTACAATAAAATAAGTATTAAATGGCATGCAGGGAAGTAAAACAATTGTTAGGTTTGCTTCACAACAAAATCAGTGAAATAGTATAATAGTTCCATAATTCTCGCCTGAAAGCAATGCAAAAAAATAGAAAACAAAAATTTAAAGAGCTCCGAACAGAACTATCGCAAAAATAATACAAACTGACAGATAAATGATTTCCTCGTGATCGTGGTTTGTAAGCTAAAACCTTCAACGGATTATTTTTCTGGATGTTGAGATAATTCAAACCCTGCTTTTATGAGTTAAGTTACAAACACCGTAAGTTAGTCAAACAAGATAATTTCCATCTCAATTAGTAAGTTCAACATAATTTTCTACTCATTTGAAAATCAATGAATACAATACTGGATAAAAATAATAACATTGAGATGGGAATACTGGGATACCTTAAACGTCGTGTTATATGTCTGAAACAGACAAACGACTGACCACGTGTAATATCACCTTATTCATTTATCAGTTATTATTCAAGTTGTTTTAGTATGTGTGTATTATGGACCCTGTAAACCACTACTGAACAGATGCAATCCTCTTTATACATAATTTTTAAAACTTGTGTGAAATTTTCGTGCGGAGTACTTTTTCCTACAAGGTGGATCAAGCTGTGTACGCGAGAGAATAATATGGCAATGTTTTAATTTTCGTACCTTCACAGTATGTTCCGTTCCCCGCGTATCCAATTTGACACCGACATCTATAGGTTAGCCCATCTAGCTCGCATTGAGCGTTCGCATGACAACTACCGCCACACGCCGTGTCTATAAATATTTGTGATTCTCATTAATAATGCATGAATGAAACATATAGAAAACTTATAAAGCATATTTTCTCAAATGTGGTCTCATTTCGAGTTTTGATGATGATGCTTAATAAGTATTCTATTCAAGACATTCTATTGGCGGTACTGAAAACGTATGCATGAGAAAGATAATAACGTAAAATATTTTGGGCGTTAAAGAGGTTCATATTTGACTTTCACTACTACTATACCGCTACCATTAAGCGCCAATTAACCAATCACATGCGTTTAATATATCTGATTAACCACTGAGATGCGTATTTAGCCAATGAGAGGTGGCGGAAGCGGCAGTGAAATTGGTCGACGTGCGGTCCGTAAAATGCGTATCCGGACCGTGGTCCATATTTTCCCGTATCCGGACCGGTTTCCCGTATGTCAATTTGACAGACTCGAATTTGAAACGTTTTTACAAGGTCGTTATGTGAAGTAAAAGTATCCTTGGATCATTTTTAAGAATAAGAAGTCTTGGAAATGTTAATAAGTACTTCTACCAACACAAATTTAATCGAAAAAGCTAAGAAAACAAGCCGTTTGAACTCTCACTGGCAAACGTAAGTTTGGGCGGCAAAATGTTTTGATTTGTTTACTTGTTTCAAAAAATAAATAAAGATGAATTTAACGTCTTTAATACCATATTCTAAACAAATATCATATAAACTGGGTATATAAGCATTTTTTCTGGGGGTAGAGGTTACAGAAAAAGTAGTTTTAAAGCGATTGTTAAAGGAGATTGGCAACAAAAATTGCCTCATCTATCTTATTGCTTCATCTGAAAGAGCATGAAAAAATAAGCCGATTGGCCGTTTAATGCTCTATTCTATCTCATCTAGTTCCGAAGTTATACGCAAAAATGTGAAAATATAAATTGCTGATTCAGCACAACGTGTGACGTCATTAGCTGGGTAAGTATGTTTATTGAATACTACACTGAAGCATAGCTCAGTTATTATGGGCCCAAATCAAATGAAATT